CACTTTGTTCTTTGTTTCGATGCGTTTCGATAAAGGAGAGAATAAGAAATCGTGCCCGACGCGCCACATCGCACGATGTCAAGGCACGGTTAAGCGTGACACGAAATGTCACGCACTGAAAATAACGAAATCGCCTTATTCTAATTGTTCTAAAATAGATATGATGAAGTCAAACATAACAAATAAAAAGCCACCAGGGGTCTTACATCCCAGCATAAAAAAATGAATTCAATTAACTTTCTAAAGGACGGACGGCCACTTTTGAGATTCAGACAATCGGCGACAAAATTGTTGAGACATTGTACTTAAATAGGGTGACTTCGGAGAACAAAAGAATCCGCACCCCTCCCCTGTCCCCTCCATTCAAAGTTGGGGTGTTTGTTGTTTTCTATAGGTAGCTAGGACAAGGGCCCAACATTGTACAGAGAGGATGGGGGAGGAAAGCTATATTTCCTCCTTTTGAAGTTCATAAAACGTAAAAAAGCCTACTTTTGGGCGAAGTGTCTCAACTCATTTTGTCGCCGATTGTAGCAAGACTTATAGGGTTGGTTATTTAAACGAAATCTAAGTTAGACCGCAAGTTTAGGAAACCTTCGGACCTCCAGATCTCTTCTTCCTCGGCGGGTTATTTTAAGAGGACAAACGCTTTTCTAGTCTACGCTATATGCTTTCATGACACTGTTGACAATAAATGGTGTTTACATAAGGCGTTCGGCAAACTGGCACTGGCTAAACTCCGTTTAAATAACTGGCCCATAGTGTTTTCGCACTTGGACTGACAATATCTAGCTATTATCACAATTGATAAGTGCAGGATACCAGTCCGTGGAGTGAAGCACTACTCTGCATCCTTTCTTTTGACGCCTCTTTTCTTAAACATTGGCTGATGGACAAAAGCCACCCCTCGGACCCCCCTCCCCTCCTTCTTACCTGCGAGGTTGATCAGTGTGGGATACCAGTCCGTGGAGTGAAGCAATTCTTTACTTTTCACGCCTGTTTTCTTCAGCATTGGCCCATGGACAAATGCCACCCCTCGTACTCCTCCCTCCAAGAGACTTCCCTTCTGTCCGCGCAAAGGCCAGTTATAACCTCCTGACTTAGGACGCCCTCCGTTGTCAGTGGTGAAGATGAACAAAGTGTTGTCCCAAAGGCTGATGTGAAAGGATAATTGATAATGATATCATGTATTTATTTCCTGCCTTCGCTAGTGGTACAGTGCCTATCAATTACATAGCACCTCTTTTTAAATATGCAGAGTATACCGTCGACGATGGCCAGTATAATTGACAATTACTTCAACATTTTCGCAAACGTTTCAGTTTTGGGTCATCAAAAATAGAATATAGAGATACTGGACCGTCTGATTCAATTGGTGTTTCATTTAAAACAGAAAACGTTTTCCGTGTTTGCATAGCCTGATATAAACACGAGAGGGGTTGGGAGAATTCGAGACAGCATGCAAACCCGAGACGAAGTCTCGGGTTTGCATAACTGTCGAGAATTCTCCCAACGCCCCCGAGTATTTACATCAGGTTATGCAAACACAGGAAAAAAGTTTTCTATTGCTTTTATAAAATAAATTTCACGAGAAAGGACGCAAAACTCTTTTTATGGCACTGATTAAAAGAGAAATTCTTACCAGTCGCAAAGTCTTGTCCACTAAGTCTTGCACGCGTAGTCAGTTCTTGTTTTGCAAAAGGATGCTTTCCAAAATACGGACTTTTCTCGCTTAAAATGTAAGCTTAAGCGAAAAAAAAAATTGACACACGTTCTTTGTAACGATTTTCCAAGTTTCAGCCGACGAAGGGATGGGTAAATTAAGTAAACTTGTCGAGTTTTGAACTTGAAAACTTTTTCAAATTTGTGCTTGCGTGATTAGCGCACGAAAAGCAAAACATCTTGACGCGACAACCATGTTTATATACTCTGATGGAAACACTCCTCTCGGCCAATCAGAGCGCGCGTACTATCTTAGTTATTTTATAATTTGGTATAGTAAAGTTATGTCAGGGGCACTTTAGGGTCTTGAAGTACAATATACCGACGAGGCAAGCCCCCACAATATATGCCTTAGAGAGGACTGATTTATACCACACAACCGGACTCTACGCTACCCTCTCTCTCGAAAGCAGTATGGACTGAATTGAAGTACATCACAACCAGTACTGGTCCAGACGTTTTTGCCAAGATTCATAAGACTTTGGTTGTTTTAGCTTCTGTTTGCGGTTCGAATCACTACTTACGCAGTGCGGCAAACCGGCGCTCTACGAACTGAGCTGAAAATATAGGAAACCAATGTATATTACCCTGCTTTTTCTAAGCTCCTTGTCACGTTACCAATAGCTTCATCGACAATATCCAGCATGGCTGCATACGTCCTCCTCGTCTTGTTTTCGATGAAGCTGTATTTGTCAATGTATTTTTGAGGTGCTTGAACCGGACCATGAACATTTTGAAACGGCAAGTACAGGAAGAGAGGCCTTGAAGAATTGTGCTCCATGATAACTTGAACTGCTTGCTGTGTATTAGAATTAAGATATAACTAGAGATGTAAACGGGCTTGTCTTTACTTGCCACAGTTTGAATTGTGTACACTAAATTATGTAGTACTTTGCAGCGGAAAATGAAATGCATATATATACCGTCATAGGTCTAACCATAGAGGACAAAAACAGTACGTTGTAGTAAACGTTACTATCAAATATTATTTAATATTGTGTTGTATAAATGTAAAGGCTGATTTACACTCAACAGTTCGTCCAGGTCCGATAAGCAAACATAAGCTTACGGTTAACAGAAAAACCGGCACGCTTTTTTTTTCAAACTTTGATTTCCCTTTTCCGAAGGGTATCGTTGATTATCGTTGATTAGATTTACGCGCTGGTGGAGGGTTCGGTGATGTATTTTGATTCAGTCATAATGTTCTTTTTTTGCCTCGATTTTCCGTACGATATTTACCTGGATGGAAAATGTTTTTCGTTTTTGGAGTGTTTACCGGATTTTTCTTAACCCTGGGACGTACAAAGAGGGGCACCCCCGCCCCGAGGTTTTTTTTTTTTTTCTAAACGAGCAAACATCACTACCTGACGTTTTCAGTAGCTATTGGTTCATCCCTCGCGCGCATTTTGAGACTGAAGTTTAGTGATGGTCTGTTACTATGGCTACCAGATACGACGTCATAAGTAGCAGGTGGTCAAGCCATTTTGAGTGAAACTGCATGTTTTTCATTCTAATTCTTTGTAAAATGCAAGATGGGAGCCAAGATGGCGACCATTGTTGGCGACGTCACAGGCCTCCAGCAGCGCCACCACCCATAATATATACCTCATATTGGAGTGAAGATCAAAGGGTTTCCAGTTTTCCACTGAAGGCAAAATCGTTTCAAGTACTGCAACATATCAATTACTCTGGGGAGGGTTCCATCAACCCCCTTGTACCACGGTAGGGTCTGAATTTTCGTGTACGTCCGAGGGTAACTAACTCATCCGTCTTTAATAAGATAGAAGGCTCTTTGTTATATTATTGGTTTAAGGCTTAGTATTGCTTTTATTATGACATAAACGGACGCGAGCCACGAAATCACCTGTTTCATCGATAAATTGTTTTACTAGCTTTTCTGGACACAGGCCTGCCCAGAGGAATGGGCACGAACGGGACTCATAGGTCCCATGCCAGGTGCCATCCCTACCCAATCCCACAACCCGTAAGGTTGGCCACACCACCGGGGTCAACGTCCCCTACTCTTTTCGAACAGTGGTGTGGGTTCCTTTGCGTCCCACATAAACAGATCAGTGAAAGTGCTGAGGGGCAGGACCTATGGTTTTTTGTTCTTATCCAAGAAGAATAGAAAGTCTAACCATTTGCAGATGTCATTAAAAAGGCGGCACTTTCTTCTCAGTTATTTAAAGACCCTGAGTGTTGGTCCGGCCGGGGTTTGAACCCGCGACCTCCCTCTCAGCAGACCAGCGCTCTCCCAACTGAGCTAACTAGGCGGCGGACAAAGCTTTACCTGTTAAAACTTCCAAAGCGAATTCCGTCACCTCATCCGAGTGATTCGGGAACAGCTTGTTTAATTATTTGTGAAATTTCTTTGTTTGTTACGGCAGCAAACCGGAAAGCCATTTTACTGGTAACTTACGCGAGTTTGGCGTCGTTCGCTAGAGGAGCTGGAAGTAAATCAGCGAATAGATCCCGAGTTTGAGTAGCCAATCAGAGCGCGCGAAAAACCCTTAAATCCACCGGTTAAGTATATATATATATATATATATATATATATATACTTGTATTCTGGGTAGAACGTATTCCGTAGAGCGCTCAATTCATTTAATTGAAGAGCATTGACTATTATTAATCACAGGAGTTCAGGCTTCAGGAGTAATCATTGATCGTTTATTGCGACAGTGCTGTTTCGTATGGTCCGAAATTGTAGGACCACACTCATCAGGCAACTTTAACGATTGACCGTTAAAATTAATAGCTGGCAGTAAATATAGGGATGCGTTAAGAGATAGTATCTAGGTAACAGATGGATTGTGTCTTAGTTACGTTACTCTAGAGTTCTGAAGTACATATCTGTTTCTGTGGGGGCATGAACTCGCTAGTTCGTTTCGCCTGTTTAGGCTACAAAGCTCTTTTTTACAAATGATGATAAACTTTTCATAAAGACAAAGATTACATTTTTTGCTAATGTTGCTATAGGCTTTACATTTCTTTAAAACTTTCCATTTTATCTGGAAAGGTTTGTTAGAGTCTTGTAAAGTCCAAATATATTTTGATAGTTCCGTTTCATTTCTTCTGTTCGAGCGTCGAAAGGAGGACTGATGGTTTCTGTAACGTTCCTTAAAGTTTGTTGCCAGTCCGACGTAAGTTTCAGTTGTCGTCGCTGTAGTTACAGTGGCTTGGTAGATTACATTTGATTGGAGGCATTTTCCTTCGAGTGGACAATCTGGTCTGGAACTATCAAAATATATTTGGACTTTGGTCTGCTACGGAGGCTATCTGAAGTATTTTAGAGTAAGTAATCATTTACCTTTTTTTTTTCCAAGACCTTTCAGTACTTTCATGTGTCAATTAAAAATGCTGCAGGCATCTTGCTACGGTTATAGCTAATGGATCTATTTGCCCTAGAAACCTGTTTCCCTCGTTTCAAGGTGCTTAACTTTATATTATATTATATATTAACCCTTCAGTTCCTTTTGTTTTATTTTGCACTGTGTATTGTGTTGGACGTGGCTGCATTGCAGTTTGTTGGTCGCTCAATATCGGTGTTTTTAACTTTAACATTTTACTTTGCACTGTATATTTGTGTTGGACGTGGCTGCATTGCAGTTGTTGGTCGCTCAATATTGGTGCTTTTTCTAACTATTTAACTGTTAACCTATTTTATTTGTTTTTATGCCTACAACACTCTCATTTACACACACCCTCCCTCCCTACCTTACCCACTATTTAGTGGAGACTTGGGAACCCTTTCATTAGGGATTCCATACCACACCTGTAATGCCACAAAGGTTGCTAGAGAAACTACTGTTTTTTTTTTTTTTTTTTTTTTTTTTTTCAAAGCTATGGTGGGTACCTAACAGTAGGGGTACCATTTTGGGTACTAGTCAACTCTTTGAATGGTTTATGGTGTTCACATACTTCCATTCACTCCACTTTATATTTTATTTTCAACTAATCTTCCTATTAATTTTTTCAGCACAAACTACATATTAATTAACTCAGACATAGTTTAATCATTATCTCCCACAATTCACACCACTTACATATTTTTACTATCTCCTCCCACACTGGCACTTCATTTAGTTTTCACTAGTTCTTTATTATTATAATTATTTTTTAACTGCCTTTTATTTATTTTTCAATATATATGTATTTTGTTCTCTAATTTATTTACTCTACTTTGTTTAGATTAATTTTATTTGACCTATACAGGAGATCGAGCAATAAAATGGGGAGTCTATCATGCAAGTACAACTTTTCTTTTGCATCTTCTCTCAGTCTTTTTCTATTTCTTCAATTTCCTTCCTTCCTGGACTCGACACGGGAATGTCGGGCATATGACCTGGTACCGGGTTAGAAACATTCCTGCTCAGTTGTGCTATGCCCCTGATGATTCACAACTTAAATTTAGAGCCTTGGTGTCGATGTATCCATTGTCCCAATATACCCGGGTCTCTTAACCTTCTCTTTCCTACTCTTCCATGTTTTCTTTTATCCGCAAATTACCTTTTTCTGCTTCCTGGAATTTCACACTAAAAAGTTTCAAGAACGAAGTAATTCGGGATGGGTATTCTTGTTGTTGTTGCTGTTGTTGTTTTATTTCTTTTCCCACTTCCTCTTTTTATTGTAGATGTTTTTTTTTTTGTTTTGTTTTGTTTTTGTTTTTGTTTTTTTTTACTTGAGTCCCCTGTTTTTTAACACCCTCCTATAATTAGAACAGCAAAAAATTTTTTTTTTTTTTCCTTACTCTCGATGTTTTAAAGAACGAAATAATATTATAGATCATCATATTTTGTGGTTAGCAATTTATCTTCTTTAATAACAACTTTTAAAGAGGGTTTAACCCCCCCTTTTTTTTTCCTTTTTTTTTTTCCCCCATTTCCTTTTTCATTTAGCTGGGATAAATTCATGCCCATGCTCCTCCCATTTTCCACTGGAACAGCAACTGGCTTTTTAGCCACTTTCAAAGTTTTAAGAACGAAATAACATTACAGATAATTATATTTTCTGGTTGGCAGTTTATTTATTTATTTATCTATTTTTTAAAAAAAGTCATGTTTAAGTAGGGTAACCCCCTTTTTTCATCCATTTTCGTTTTCATTCAGCTGGAATAAGTTCGTCCCCAGACTCCTCTCATTTTGTACGTCATCATGCTGACGATTAACTATGGCGTGAGCAGCAAAAAAATTGTTTTTGCTACTTTTTGTGGGCCACATCCATGAGAAGAGGAATTTTTGTCTACTAGCTGAGGAGTTTCCAAGTTTTTTTGCTCGCTAATTGGTCTGCTACGGAGGCTATCTGAAGTATTTTAGAGTAAGTAATCATTTACCTTTTTTTTTTCCAAGACCTTTCAGTACTTTCATGTGTCAATTAAAAATGCTGCAGGCATCTTGCTACGGTTATAGCTAATGGATCTATTTGCCCTAGAAACCTGTTTCCCTCGTTTCAAGGTGCTTAACTTTATATTATATTATATATTAACCCTTCAGTTCCTTTTGTTTTATTTTGCACTGTGTATTGTGTTGGACGTGGCTGCATTGCAGTTTGTTGGTCGCTCAATATCGGTGTTTTTAACTTTTAACATTTTACTTTGCACTGTATATTTGTGTTGGACGTGGCTGCATTGCAGTTGTTGGTCGCTCAATATTGGTGCTTTTTCTAACTATTTAACTGTTAACCTATTTTATTTGTTTTTATGCCTACAACACTCTCATTTACACACACCCTCCCTCCCTACCTTACCCACTATTTAGTGGAGACTTGGGAACCCTTTCATTA